GGCGCCAAACAATTTGCACATTTTTACGTTTGCTTTAAATCCATCAAATGCCATACCCGCCACAATCACACCACAATCAACAAGTTCAGAAATAATTTTTTCGATAAGTGATTTTTTCTTAAAGGCCTCGAGTGAACTGATAAAATAGTAAGCGATTGGCAGCTGGAACAAATCATTCAGTGCATTTACTATGAACACAAGTGCTTGATTTGCAATGTCGGATTTTTTTTTCGTTTTGGTTGCAGTCGCATTAGGTGAAGGTTCTTCTTCTTCACTCGAATCTGCTTCAATATTTGCGTATCCAATCAGTTTTTGATCTTTATTTGACCATTGAACATGTTTTCTAATATGCATTTCATCGAATAGCAACGAACATACTAAATTCTCTCCAATCGCTTCTTTTTCCAAAACTTTTCTCTTAAGTATTTCCAGACAATGTTCATTGATCACATTGGGCATAGTATGTAAGTCCGAATTTGCATACCAAGACCTTATAGTGCAGGGATGCGGCAATTTTTTATCAAATGTGTGACGTAAAAATGCATAGGCACGTGGACTATGAAAATGCATAGTCAAGCAAAATTGACGAATCAATGCTGGATACTTTTCTCTATTTTTTACGCCCTGAATTAGACATTCGATGATCTCTTTCTGTTTGATACCCTATTTAATGCAAATGAATAAAAACATCAGTTCGGAATATATACATTTGAAAAAGAAAACATACTTCAAAGTCAACAGACAAATTTCCTTTCTTCATATCAGCAACATCTTTTCGTAATTGATCCAATGTATTTTTTAAGTAAGATACTTGAGATCTTAACGATTGAATTTCCTTCGATTGCTTCAATTTGATTCCTTTCAAAATCTCTATCCGAGCGTTGGATGTTATTTTTTCACTCTCCAGATTACTTTTTACTTGTTTGATTTCTTGGTGTAATTTTGCATTCTCAGATCGAAGTATTTCGAGTTTATCAATCTCGTCATTATGGTCATGTCGTCCATTGTGATTATTAATTTCAGTTTCATCAACATCGATTACCATAATATCAAACAATGATGGTACAGCACCCACTTTCAGATTGATTTTTCCACACTGCGATGTAGTGTATGAGTCAGGTGTGAAATGTTCTATGCAAACATGTGAACTGGCACCGCATTCAATGCCAGTTAATGCAATCTGCCACGCCGTTCGTGCCTTCTCATCCGTTGGAATGCTAATAATTAAGAATATTAGATTCATATTTATTAATAAATACTTTTTTAATATTATTTACCGAAACATGCGTGTTTCTGATTTCCCAACTCCTTTAAAATTATCACAACCACGTATTTTACAGTACCGCATTTTTATTTTTTTGTATTATTACAAGAGCCTCAAAATATTCGTGTGTTCTTATGCACAGGGAAAATTCAACTATATTTCAGTCGGAGTATGCTCTGAAAATCAGAGCAAAAATGGCTACAACGCATTTCAATTCAAAAAGTATTCAAAGCCTCCTAAAACAACAAATAAAATTCATATTTCTCATCACCGCCGAAATAAATAAATATCATGACTGTGCATTTAAAACAAAATTGCCAAATGAGCTCAAGACATTAGATGAGAAACAAATAACATTAAATAGTGCTTTCCCAATGAAATTCCAAACACAGCATCTAAAAAAGTGCAACTTACATCATATTTTGGCCAAAAGAACATATTCAGGCGAAAAAGAATCATAATATTCAGACAAATCAACGTCCCAACATGCTCAAATTCATAAATATTTCATTCCGTGTTTTTTTATTGATAAGTTTAATATTTATTCAACCATCAGATCAAAATAACAACAGTCTTTGCTTATGCACGAAAAATCGACATTTGAAGTTCAGATGAGATTTAAAATTTAATCGCTATCGCTACTATACACCAAACGGCCGAAATATTCATCGCTTTCATCCAATCCGGAACTGATGCTTACATTTTCGTTTGATGTAGTTAGATTATCAGCACCTTCAAATTGATCCAAAACACCCAAAATGAATTGCGCGGTGCGGCTCATTTTTTTAGCTGGACCATATTGTTTTTTCGCCAAATTTAAACTGCTGATTGGCAACAAATCTGGCACTGGCCGAACAATTTTTGCATGGCTCACTGGCATCATTGGGGCTGGAAGAAACACATTCGGTACGGCTTCATCAAGAATCGATACACTTTTTGCCTGGACCTCGCTTCGTGGCAAAGTAATGGTCGGTATAGACGGTAACAATGGATCCACGTTTTCATCATTTGGATTTTGTAGTGGTGAAACAGAAACAGTGGTTTGGTCAGACGCGTTATCATTTGCTACTCTGGCATGTAGAGAACGACGACGGGAGAATGGTTTGTCTACCACTCGTTGAAAAAGAGCCGAACATCCACCAGAATCAGTATTCGACGCAGACAAGCTACCCAATGCAAATGTACGACGACGTGAAATAATTTTTGCACCTCGTTTGGCTAGAAGCAATTTTTCCAAATGTGGTTTTTTTGCGATACGAACCACACACTGATCATAATTTTGTAACAAATTTGTACGTGCTATAGCACGACTATCCGAACGGGTGGCTGAAAAATGAAACATAAATTATAATTTGATACTATAATTGCAATGATAGGCATGTTTACAACTTACCTCTTTTAATAAAACCAGCCAAGTTTTTCACGTGTTTTGCTTTTGCCATATCTGGAGTGTACGATAAATTCCCTGCTGAAAAGTACAAAGTTTTCCAAAAATCACTAATCTGTTCAATTTCATAAAAATAGTAAAAGATGTTCAAACGAAGACAATATTTTAAAATAATATTTCAAACAGAACTCACTTCAACAATAATTAGTTTTTGGCGCTAAATATCGATTCCTTATACGAACTTTACTCAACGACAGTTTCTTTTCAAATGAGAATATATAGAGTTCACCAACGACAGACACGAATAGCAGCATACTAATACACACTCACCATAGACAAGCAGTACTCCTTGTGCAGTGATGTCAATGACCTATCAATCATAGGCTACTTTAATAGCTTTTCATAATATTTTGAAAAGAACAAAAAATAGTAAAAAACTGAATTTAAATGCAAATTATTTATTGAAATGCAGATTTTCCTTCAACACAAAATGTTTTATAGTTCATGCGATGCATTTTTCCAAAAAATCCAGAACCAAGTTCGGGTAGTGTATTTTGGCATCTACGGCTGACATGATGTGTAATTCATCATTTCCACAGTCAAGGAAATAAACCAATTCGCCGGTTGCTTTTCTTGTAGCATCTGCAAAGATTAAAATTAACCGAGTAATCAAAATCAATGATTTGAAACGATGTTTAACATATAATATTTTGTGATATACATACAAACTACTTTTGAAACGACATGTTGAGGTCCGGCTAAATTGGCACGCAAATTGGCATCCTCGATCGCATCCTCCCATACAATTTTGCTTTCCAAAAATTCGATGAAAGGAACAGAAAACATTCGAGCGTCATGACCCGAAACAACTTGAATGTCATCGTTATTTTTGGGTTGAACCAAATATGAAACATAATTGAGATCTCGTTTGGCACCTACAAATATAAATGATTACATTCATGTGTGGACCTTAAATTTATCGGTTCTTCAATAATTAAAATACTCACCGAAAATTTGGCTCGGTCCGCATTTTCTTTCAAATTCAAGAATGAGTCGGTTGCAATTCAAATTGGCGATGGAAACCCATGATGATCGCTTAAAACCAACCCATTTGACAAAGTATTCAACCTTAAATAAAAATCAGCATAAATATTTGATCGTTTCGTTTTTTCTTCTACATTCTATATGTTGAAACAAATACCTTTTTTTCTTTTCGCCCAACAGTTTTCTTGTCGGTGATTTCTTCCACCTCGTATTCCGGCATTTTTTTTACTTTTCTATCAACAAATTTGTTTTGTTATTCAGCACGAACATACAACGAATAAATTGACGTTTACATGTAAACAACCAACATTTGAACACGGGCGAATTCGCAGCGATTTCCCTTGAAATCGCACCGTATTATTTGTCAGTATGATTCGACGGTTTTGTATTCAAAGTAAATACATGTTTTTTTTTTATTTGCACACATAAAAAATATATTATTAAAGAAATTAATTTGTTTATAGAAAAATGATTTGTAAAAATGAAAATTTCAATTCGATTTATAAAAAAGTAATTCTCATCAACATTTGAACTGAAAAGTTCACTACAAAGTTTGATTGACTTGCGCTTTAAGTCATGCAAAGCATTCAAAATTGCCAGAAAAAATTTGCAGATGGCGTTGACTGTAAAACGCAAAATACGCCTAATTTAAAATACATTCTAGCACATTTCATATGAATATTATGAGTCATCATAATGTCAACAATACTATCGTTCACAAGTAAGACTGCAACGGCGACTGTATTTTTAGGTTCAAACTTCGAGTTCGATGACCGATTTCATTACTCATGTAGTTTTTTAGATTTTTTTACGCATAACGAAATATTTGGTACTTTAAATATACCTAAAAATGTAATAAAAATTAAATGTGATCTAACATCCGGTTCATTTAGTAGCACTAACAGCAAATACACGCATGTGATTCATGAATTCACACCGATTTCACAAGGTGGTAAAATCATTGAGAAGGCGCAGCATTTGATTTATTTACCAGTTAACAGGAGAGGAGTAAGCAACGTTAGTATTAGCATTGTTGATGAAAATAATGAACCAGTGAAATTTAATGAATATATGTTCACGTGTCGCATACATGTTATAAGAAATGATCATATATCATAATCAACCAAATCCATATAAAAGTGAATCAGCTACTGCTCGCAACGTCAATCGTGAACGACGATCACAACAGACAACAGTGAAAAAAAAGTTGGGAACTAAAAAACAACAGTCAACGGTGAAAAGAAAACCGTTAACTAAAAAAAATATTGATTTTTTAAAAAGTATTGGTTTCAAAGTGAATAAAAAATGAGTAATATAATACAAATTAAAGCTCCCATTATAAGGGATAATAACATAATTAGTCAACAATATCATACATATACACCATACACGCAATCGTATGAAAACAATGATGAAATTCGAATTGCAATTCAATCTCAAGACCTTAACGTTTTACCATCGGAAAGCTATCTTTTTATTGAGTTTGAAGCAAAAAGATCTGGGACTACAGTGAGCACGCAAAAAGTGAAATTCAACCCATTCTATCTAGCTCATTTGTTTAGTGAAATGCGGTATGAATTAAATGGCGTTGAAATTGACCGATGTAAGACTCCAGGTATAACTAGCGCATTGAAGACTATGATAGCGTGCAAATCATCGGATCTAAGCTTGTACTATTTATATAGACTCAATGAAGAGGTAGATATATTGCAAACAACGTACTCATTAATACTTCCGTTACGTTTTATATTTGGATTTTGTGATGACTATAATAAAATCATTTTAAACAGTAAACATGAATTGATTATAATACGTAATCGAATTGATTCTGGTTTATGTTCAAGTGAATCAGATTCTGAAGTGTTTAAATTTAATGTCACCAAAATTCATTGGAAAATTCCACACATTAAATTGAGTGATGAAGGACGATTATTGACATTGAAATCGATAGAACGTGACGATAGTATTCCGATGGCTTATCGTTCATGGGACTTATACGATTTACCTGTTGTACCACAAGCAAGGAGAAATATATGGAAAGTGAAAACCACAACTCAATTAACGAAACCGCGATTTGTGGTTGTTGCATTTCAAACAATAACAGATCCATGTAAAAATGTGTCAGAATTTTCTCATTGTAATATTAGCGACGTCAAGCTATATTTGAACGATGAACGATATCCATATGATAACTTGAACACATCTTTTTCTCAATCAAGATATCAGGAATTATATCACACGTTTTTGAAAATCCATCAATCATATTACAACGACGGAAATCCAAATGCAGCTGGAGTGAATTTTCATGATTTCAAAAATGGATCAACAATATTTCCATTCGATTGTTCAAGATCAGATGAAAGACATAAGAATGGAACAATTGATGTGCTAATTGAAATCGAATCAAATCGAAACATACCGGAAAATACTAAAGCGTACTGCTTAATTATACACGATAATTTGGTACGATATTCGCCACTAACAAATTTTGTACGACGTGAATTTTAAATAAATAATTAAATAAAAAAATGGAAGACGAAAGACAACAAATAGTGAATGAGC